GAACTAATGCACTATAGATAGCAATATTGTTAGTCGTTACTATTACCGTAATGCCCTTTCGGTGCCTTCATTTCGTCCCAGAACGAGCGTTGAGCTCTTCTCTTCCTTTTTTTCGGCGCAGAAATGCCGCGACCGCTTAATGCCCTCCAGAGTTCCTACTCATTGTCAGCAAATTAACACTTCCAGCTCTCCCGCGCCAAGGAGAAACGCCGTATGAACCTTAACACATCGTCAAATTTTGTTTTCATAGGATACCAAGTCATTGGGCATTTTTGGAAATATATTACCTCAAATTTTTTCCACAGTTTTGCTCGCAATTTAATCTAAAATGTTCAAAAATTTCAAGGAGAAATTATGGAAAACTTTTTTCCAAAATACACTTTTTATCGGGGGAAAATTGATAGCATTGGAATGATCATATGGTGTTTTTCCTTAAGACGGCAGCGTAGACTATGTCAATTTCCAAGCCGATGATTCGATGACGAGAAATCCTAGCGATCTAGCGCAATGCACCTGGGAGGCCCGAGGCATGTCGTGGAATGTCCATTACGACTAATTATTTTGACCGCCTCTATAAATGAGGATCCCGCTATCAAAAGTGAAAATTCTACTCCAAGTCGCCTCAACGCTGCTTTGAGCTCATTCATGAGAGACCAAGATGCTAAGGAAGAAAGCCTTATGGGCCTTCAGGCGTTGCATAATTTTCCTTGATGAAGGAACAATTTTAGGGAAAGTGGGTATTTTACCTCCGATTTCCAGAGGATTTCATTCCAAATTTAATCTAAAGTATCTGAAAATTTCAAAGAAAAATACTCATAAATTTCCCCCAAAATAGATCTTTTACACTTAGAAATTGGGCCACCTTGGAATGTGCATACGGCGATTTTCCTTTTAGCGCGCCGCGGCAGCACACAACTCTTGTATGTAACGGACGTGCCGTGAGATCAAGTATCATTTTCCCAAGTCGCACAGTTCAACGAAAATATTGCAACAATTCCACTATTGAAGATGATAAAATTGCAATTCCTTACCATGAAATTGTAATATTTTTACATCATTTTGTTTATAAATGCCAATTTAAAAGCTCATTATAATGTGCTCTACGCTGGGGCAGGCAAGTAGCCAGGATTTTGTTTCGGGGAGGAGGGGGGGCGCTTGTGGGGTCCCTCCACTACTAAGGGGTCCGGGGAAAATTTTAGAAATTTCCATTCTAATCATACGCATTTTGCGCTTTCCGTGACGCAGATTTTCCATCAATGTCTAGCAGAAAAATTACGTTTCCTTTTTGAACTTTCAGCAAAAAATGCATATACGCATTAAAAAAGATCCTGAAAATTTTTTAAATTTTAACTCTATTTGGACGCATTTCCAGGCTTCTGTGACGTAGACTTTCCATCAGTTTTTGCATGAAAATTGCGCCTTTTTTACTTTTATCATAAAATACTTCCGAATTATATGCATTCAACAAATCTAGAAAATTTTTGAAATTCCAACTTTATTTGGACGCATTTTGAGGCTTCTCTGACGAAAATTTTAGGAATGAACACGGTGTTTTCATTTAGAACTCTACATTAAAAGAGATGAATATCTTCGACGGTCTCAAACTTCTTCTTTTCTCACACTTTATCATCTTCTGACTCCTTTTTCCTTTTCTCTTTTCCTCTTCTTTTTTGCTTTCGGAGGGCGTTTGAGCCCCCCGAGCCCCCACCCCCTGGATACGTGCCTGCGCTGGGGCAATTTGAAACGAGAAAAAATTCAACTATAACTCCAATTTGATTGCAAGACAATTCAATAAGAGGAACTTCTTCAATTATAGTGAATATACGACATACCTACACAACACTCTGATACAATACCAATCATTTTACCGTGTAATTGCAAGTTATTGCTGCCTGACGGACATTGGAAAAAAAGATTGGTAGAATTTACCATTCCCTCACGCTGTACACAGCGTGAAGGAATGGTATATTCTACCAATCTTCAAGTCGATTCTGCCAAAAGAATGGTTACCTGTATACCAGTATAGTAACGTTTGCCTTTCTTCTGGCAGAATTGACTCTGAATTAACGCTGTGTGAAATACAGCGTGAAGGAATGGTAAATTTTACAGATCTTTTTCTTCAGTGAGATATGTATAAAAGTGCATTGGATCTTTGGAAAATTTTCAAGAGGCAATGAAGTAACGCATGGCTGAAGTCGGGGCGAGTTCCAAGCTCCGTGATTGGTCTGCGATTGCGTCTCACCTATTGATGGACGGCCATTGAGACGAGCACTTAATTACTTTGAAAAGTGGATCAGTGATAAGGGCTGCAAGACAAAAAGAGTAGTGTGCCAGAATCACCTTCGCTCAACTTCTTCGCTTTCATCATTGTCCTGGCCGACTTCCAGGAGTTAGCAATTACTTTTCCGTGGCGCCATCTCGTCCCTTCGCTCGGAGCTAAGTATTATAAATTATAAGTCACGCATTTCTTCGCCCCTCCGACGAAAGGGCGTGTCTGGATTTTCACGTGAACCCTAGCCTCCGTAAAACTCCATGCTTGCCGGGGGCCAAACGGAAATCGAGATATGCCCCTACGTCAGAGTAGCCACGATTTGACCGCCCTTGATCCGCTCTATCAATACGTTCCGTAAGAGCTTCCGAGCTTTGTATTTCCGCAGGGTGGGGTTGCCGACGGTGAGGAAAAATTGGACGTATTTCTCCAGCTAAACAAAACTATGTATATACATTATGACATGAGCCTTGTTATGCATATATTCTTATGGGTCTCAGGGCTCATGTCTTAATGCACATACAATTCCGTTTGACAGTAATACGTACAATTGAAGAATTTATGGAAGGTGTGGCCGGGAGATGCCTCCAAGAATCTTGCCCTCAGGAGAGAAAGCCGGGTCTCACACAGATGTGATTCAAACATGGTCATCGAATCATTGGCTTCTTTTAGCCCACTTTTTTACGCCAAGTCCCAAATCGGGTCAACTTTTGAAATTCATTAATTTTGATGGTTTTTGAAGTATCATCTATGTTATGTCTATATTTTTGAGGGTAAGAAATACTTTTTTTTTTTTTTAGATATCTTCACATTTTTTATAACATACTATCGAATGTTACCGAATTAGCGAAACTACAGGAGGGGGAAAGGAATCTGAAAGCCTGAGGCCGGGCTTGGGGGAGGAGGCCGCTGTCGGCCGCTGGATCATCGGATGCTGCTGCTGGATGACGTCGCTCCGACATCATTGCATTGTTTTTTCTGCTTTCTCTTTATCTACCTCCATTCTCGCGTGATCAGTTTTGATTTTGGGCTTCGCACAAAAATTGCGTTGGTAACCAGGATCTCTCTTCCGTAAAATAAAAAAACCCTCAATTTTTCTCAAATCACAAAAATAAGATACACCTCAACGCGCGCTGATGACGGCGCATGCAGAGATAAAACTTTGCGTGCTGGAAGAATGTCTGTACGGCCATCTGAAATCCGGAACATAACACGGAGATAGAGCAAGGAGAAGGACGCGCGTTGTCGGCGCAGAGATACAACTATTCGTACTTGTTGGATGTCTGCGTTGCAGCTGCACAATTTGAAGGCGCGATGGTGCGAGGCGTGAACTCGAGATGCTTCGTCCTATGCTGCCGATGAGGTGTCCCTCAGATTCGGGAGAAAAGTTTTAAGAAAAAGAGGCCCTATTGCATGTCTCCTCTTTGGCTGTGTTACTCACGTAGCCCTTGAAGCATCACTCACTATAAAAATTAGATAAACGAGAGAAACATAACACGGAAATAGAGCAAGGAGAAGGACGCGCGTTGTCGGCGCAGAGATACAACTATTCGTACTTGTTGGATGTCTAGGTTGCATCTGCACAATTTGAAGGCGCGATGGTGCGAGGCGTGAACTCGAGATGCTTCGTCCTATGCTGCCAATGAGATGTCGCTCAGATTTGGAAGAAACATTTAAAAACGAAGCCTAAATACGGTTCTTCTATCTTTGGCTGTGCTGACACTTCACCCCCCCCCCCCATTTTGTTGTCTGATTCTTTCCTCAGGGTGTATTCGTAGACCTATATGCAAATCTATGTGTGCTGGCATTATAAACTCTCCAGCGGCCTGATTATTGAAACTATGTTGACCTGCAGACAAGACAAGACGAGACGTTGCCTTGTCTTAACCATGAAATACATCACATTTTGATGTCTTATCGGGCTGCTATAAACTTTGAATAATCAGCCCGCCGATAGTCGGGTCAATTTGACCTGGCCTGGGATTTTTAGAGGTAGTTGTCAAAAAAATTACTTCAGGAATTAAGAAAAAATCCAGTGTCAGTCGGCAGTCGACTTCTTTTCTTTTTTTAAATTTATGTCTCGATTATTTTTTCATTATGTATTTGAAGACTTATATCTAAAGCTCTATTGTATCAGCCACATACAACCCACGAGCCACGGGTTTTGAGCAAGTCTCGGATCAATTTGACCCGGTTTGGGCGTTTCAGTGTTGAGGAGCGATGCGTCCAGGATTCTAGCATGGCCGAACTATCGTGTGACACACTCACACATCACGCATTTAAGTAGAAAATGTTGACAGATTTTGAATTTTTACCTAAAAAAAAAGACGGAACAGCCCTTGCAAATTCTCAATGAAAAAATGAAAAATTTAGGGAAGTGCAGGTAGGATTCTATTTGAATGAATCCTCGCATTTGATACAGAGGTCCATTAATGTATCGAATGCGAGGTTTTTCCCCAAAAAGAATCCTGCTTTTATCTCCGAATTTTGCCAATTTTTTGTTGAGAATTATTCTTTTTCTCGAGACTCACGCGCAGATGCTGTCGTCCCTTTTCTTTTGTTTTAAAAGTCAAAAACTGCCGAGAATGTTGGCTCAATCGATCTACTTAATGTATCGCAAGCTAGTTCGACCATGCCGGACTCAAGGACGAATCACCTTAAATTCAAATTTCCCGCTAATGTTCAAACTAACATCCATGTGCTTCTACCTTGCGGCGTACTTTGGTACTAAGCCTGTATAATTTTATTTTAGGTTATAAATAAAATCAATGTAAACAAAAAGTACTCTACAATAGTAAAATTCAAGGAAAGTTTGTTTTATATAATGACAGTTTTTGTTTTCACAACTGAGCAAGATGACTAATGGAAAGACTTCAAAGTGAGTAAAATTTTAAATGTATGAAGGTAACCATTACAGTTTTATTGGATTCTTTCCTCTGTGCTCCTATCAAGTCGTTACACCCTCCTCTGAGTTTACTCATCCAAAAATAATCAATAGTTGCCTCCACAAGGTGTTTTTCCGTATTTCAGAAAGTTAGAAAATGTGCGAGCAAGCCATCTCATCGTTTTGTAGCCTAATCTAACTTCTCTCCTAGGTCTCATCTGCATGTTTCATCTACTCAATTGGATGAGAGGCTTGATGATATGTGATGATAAGAGAAGGTAACACGGATCTTTCCAGAGGCTGAACAAGGTACACTCTACTACTGGTTTGGACAAATGGAATTTTAGAAAGTCCTTGAGACGCTTAGATTTGACAGCATCCAATGGTACGATTGCCACGCCATATTGAAAACTTGTTTACTTTCTGTTCTGAGAGTGGGTCTCGTCAATTTCGTATTATTTTTTTGTGCTCTTAGTGGAGTTATTTTGAGTTTTATCAATGTTTATCTGATAGCTTATTTTGCATGCGTTCTTTGCTCTGCTGTCGGAAGAGGGTCATTTTGAACTGCGCGGTCAAGACGGTATGACTTGCGACGTCACTGGATGGCCTTCATTCTCAGTGCTGCCAGTTTGGCACCCCGTTTGTCCATACCTGTAGTAGAGTGCATCTTAGAGGCTAGGTAGATGGAAATTGAAATATGATGTCACAATCCAGTTATTGTGGGACTGCAGAACTACTTGGTAGAGAAGTTTGCCAATGTGAAGGAAGGCGGATGAATAACTTTCAGCCAATATTTTTAGATCATAACTTATCTATCTTGGAAGGTCTGTCATCCTCAAGGTTCAGCTCTATATATTCACGATTTTGTATTCTACCGAGCTAATCAAATTACCTACTGACCGCTATCTAGTGATGACAAATCGAGGCTGAAAGCTGAAATTCCGCCTGCCGGAGATCTTAAGACCGTAAATTGAATTGATGTAATGTTAAATTTAAGTTTGGAGGTGATCTCCCTAGAATTCTGCATTGACATCAAAAAAATTGATCTGTAAGTATTGACTTAATGTGAAATATCAAATTTACTCATTAAGTAACTAAGTAATATTCTCTCGTAATGATTGGGCGATGAGTGTAACTAGCTCATTGACGTTTGACTTATAATACAATCTAGACCGCGCATTGGGCCCGACTTTGGGCGGGGAAGGTAAGACAGCTAGGGGGGTAAAGACGCGCCTTCAGCCTAGTTGATACCGCCGGATATACGAGCTAAGTGTACCCGTATCAGGCAACGACACTGGCAAGACTGGCATTTCCACGAATTCCACCATTGTCTCGCCGGTACACTTGCTGTGTGTTGCTGGGTTGCCTATCGTCTCGCTTGAATTTCGTAATGCGCGGTCTAGATTGTATTATACGTCAATGAACTAGCTCCCTCTACCACTATTATTGTATTTATTTATTTATTTACATTTGAGTAGGTACACAAATGACACAAGCATAGTGTCTAAGCATACTTGTTAGTGTAAACCCCCAAAATTTACATTTTAAACATCATTACAAAAATTATCTAGAGAATAAAATGCCTTACTTACAAACCAATAAGGTTTTTAACCCCTTGCAAAAAGCGTTAACTTCCCAGTTTTTCAATAGTTTTCTTGATTTCAAGGGAAGATTATTGAATTGTAATGTAGTTAAGGTACAGAAAAGTTCTTGTAAATTATCTATTGAATGTACAATTGCAATGGGAAAATCTTCCAAAATCATTGAAAAGTCTCAAAACTCAACCTATTGCCAAGAGGTATTTTAGCCTTTTGTGGTTGAATTGTCAGGCATGTCCTGACAAAAATTTTGCCATGTTCTGGTCGGAAGTCAGGCCTGACCCAACATGAAGTTTGGTGAGCTTTGGAGTCGTGTAATGGGCCCAAGATCACCTGCTTGACAAGTGCTGCAGTTCTAGTGGTCCCTAAGGAAACTTCTCGGTAGATTGGCGTCATTGTGAGCTTATTGTTGCTATGGGGGAACAGAGACAATTAATTGTGACTACAGAGGGTTAATGAATGAAATTAAGTACTTTTGAGTAAGTACTTTGCTTATTACAATCTGCGTCTTGATACTGCTCTGTGAATGGGAGTTTGATCAGTTCCGTAGAGACTGTCAGGTTTACCGTAAGTATTGAACTACCATTCTCCTGACCATCAGTATGAAACCATCTCCATTACTTAAACATGGGCAAAGATGAATTTTTTCAATGAGCGTTGCTAAAGATTTTTGCAAGGGCAAGGGGCATGGGAACCCTTTGGAAACTTTAGCTTTAATGCTCAGTCACACCCTTACCCATGGTCTCTCTCTCTCTCTCTCTCTCTCTCTCTCTGTAAATATCAATACTTCTACCTTTGTTTTCTCATTATTTCTCTGGCTATAATTTTCAGGCAATCGAAAGAGTACGAAAAAGAAAGACGCGATAGACTGAATAAGGCCTTTGACCAACTTTCATCAGTCTTACCAGACTACGATCCAATCAGTTCTCTGTCTAAAGTTGAAATTTTGACCAAAGCCTATGATTATATTAAGAAACTTGAAGCGGACCAATGCAAGCCATCCCAAACAATGGATGGTTCTTGTGGTAAGAACAAATTTTCAATTCAAATAAATATGTTCTGTCAGATTTGAAGGTTGAAATAACTAACTTTAGTTGTCTCATCTTACATCTCTTATAAAAAGTCTGTCCCTGCACTCACAATTTGAGTGACAAGGAAAGGAGAACTAGGTAAAAAGGGGAACATACATTCGATGAGTAAGTTCTTTAAAATAAACATTGTTACTCTGTCAATGTCAGCCTCAAAATTTCCGAATTCTTAAAAAATTTCCACATTCTGCAAAAAGACCAAAAGCATGAGTTTATCAGCGTTGCCATACTTTCTTCATCTTAAAATTCCCTGATTTTTCCTGACTATTTTTGCTTTTCCCCGACTCCAAAATTTTTTGATTCCCTTATATTTGAATTAAATTTCCACTTTGATCTTTTTCCTTTAAATTACACTCACTCCTGTGAAATACTAAACAAATTAAATTCCTTGACTTTTCCAGGGCCTGCAACCCTGGTTTATTGAAAAAAAAAATGAAAAAATGAGGACATTTTCCTGGTTTTCCCCATGAAGTATTCTGAGAAACTGAAAACAGAGGGTGTTAGAACATTTTCCTCTTGAGTTAGGCTCAAAGCAAGGCAGCCACTCAAGAGCATTTTGCGCACCCTACTGAAACATTAGGTGTGTTATCAAAGACAAATCAAGATTGATCAGAGAAGAAACATTCAGCAGCCCTGTCCATAAAATGAGGAAGTAAATCTTTATCAGTTTTTAAAATTTCTGAATAACAGACGTAGCAAATGCTCTTGCCTGAAAAAATATGGTAGAAGAATGGCTCATCATGCAGTTTCTGTTCACTCTAATTCAAAGCATCTCATCAAATTGATTCCTACAAACGCCATGCTTCTTTTTTCAGCCAGATCGTGCTCTTTTCCCAAAGTCAAGTGCACCCCTGCCTTTACAGCTTTGTGTAATCTTGTTTTGCCCTTATTTTCAGAGAAAGAAAATTGTAATTTAAGAGCCAAAGTAAAGCACTTGTCTTCTCGCATTCGACAATTAATGGACGTCATGTACAGTGCCAAAATTAAGGTTCCAGATAATTTGCCTCCTACAAGCACTTACACACCTGGAAATCATTGCAAGTGGAATGGGAAAGCAGGAGATAAGAAAGTTGAATTATTATTGAAAAGTGTACTCGATAAAAGTAAGTCGCAGTGATTCCATGTCTTGGATCTGCTCAAGGAAAATTCAAATAATTCTAAGAGCTAATAATAATTTTCTAATCATTTTTGAATGAGTAGGTGAGAGTTACAAGTAAGATAGGCAAAAGTAGCAAGAGATTGAAAACAAGCAGAGAAATACAAGCCAGTGGTGTGATCTGCCATGCCAAGAAAAAACATTTTATGAACATTTGAGAGTTGCTAAATTTTCTCTGTTAAAAAGTTGATTTTTAAGCAGAGTTATGAATTTTTTCTCTTGAAATTTTCAGGTAATTTAGATCCAACTGCGAATTAAGTTCTCTGAAAAATCGGAGGAAAAGAATTCTCAGATTTCCATTACAATTCGTATTTTATTAAAGGATATTTGGCAACGTCTGAAGGCTTGTACATAGTTCTTCCTTAGCATGGAAGATTTAATAAGCAAACATAATTTTTACCTTAAGTACCTCCACTTTTCAGGGAAGTCAGGGCCAAAAAACCAAGTAAATATTTTAGAGAGAACTTAATTATAAAACAGGTGATCACTGCAACTCTTTCCTCTCATTTGTGACATCAGAACTAGTCCAAATTCATTAGTAAAAAAAAAGAAAAAAAAAAAAAAAAAAACAAGGATAGTAATCACTTTAAGCCATTGACCTCTTGATATGCCACTGTGCACGTGAGAAACCAGATTTAAAATTACAGAAGGCTTGTGTCAAAATATTACAGATAAGATATGTCTTCTAGGTACCTATTTAATAAATTGTAGAGCAAATTAATAATTCAGAGCTCAGCAATCTCAAGTTCTTAGTCATATATATACTAAGATTTTCAAGGAATTGGTAATGTTCAAGGCAATTCATAAATCATGCTCCGAGGCAAAAGTAAATAATTGTTGAAATTACATATTAGAATTATTAAAGATTCATAATACAGCCCAAAATTATGAAAATATTATCATTCTACAGATGGGTTTAGACAATAATTCAATAACTCCAACAATTACTTTGCTTTAAAATTTATCAAATATGCAGAGGGCATCTCTAATCTGTAAAAATTTGATTTGCACCATCTGTAATCTTAGATTTAAATTATTGCATGTATTTATCTGCACATTCATAACCTCTCTCCATCTTTACCCCTGCCAATCTTGTTCACTGCCATGTTGCTAAATATTTTTTTAAAAATTATAGCATGCAATCTTGGTTCAGTTTTCACTTAATACCATACACTTAATGGGCTACAGTTTTAGTTGAGGTGTATTTTAATGTTTCTGCTCTTGTAAAGTTTGGGAGATGGTACTGAAAAACATCAAAGTCCTTAAATGAAGGTATTTCAGTCTGCATAGTATGATTACTTGCTCTGTTTAAATCCTCTAGACGCTGTTTAAAAGAATATCCTTTCAATTTTCAACTATCAGACAATGGTCTGTGATAAATTATATATTCTATATCTTTTAGTAAGGGGCAATGGTAGGAAGATCAAGGAAAATGCTACCCAAAAGGAAATTAATTTTCAGTATTTAAAATGTATTTCTAGACAGAGTTGGGAATTTTGCCCTGTGAGGTTAAAATTCAATATAAAAAGCCTTGCAGTTGTACACTGAATATCACACAATGCAAATGGCAAAATCACCAACTCTGTCTAAACGACCTCTACATCGAACTGCATTCTGTTCTTTGTTGGGTATTTTTATAGCATTCTCAGAATAAGCAACCTAAAATTAGGATCTTTGATGGAGATGTCAACAAATTTTTCACTACAACTCAGGATCACTAAATAAGTCAGATTGAAGATGTTTTTTGAAACCTTTGCAACTTGAAATTACTTTGAAAGTAACTTCAATGCAGGAAGTTTACTGTACTCTGAAAGCTCTCAAAGAGGTTCCAATTCAAGGAAGTTTCAAGTAGCACCTTCAAGCTCCAACTTGAGCACTCGTCAGTCAACCTGTCCATCTCCATTTTTCTTAAATTCAAAGGAAGACTAAGCTGATGATAAAAAAAGAAGTAGGTATTATGAAAAAGAAAAAAAAAAAATGTTGGAAATATAACTTTTCTATCGTGAGGTAGGAATTTTTTCAGCTGCGTTCATTGCTTTCAAAAAGAATATGACAATAATCTGAATTATGTTGAGTAATACACCTGAAAAAGGAAATTACAGACGCATGATTCAGATGTCTAAAATGTCAATATCTCAGAATCCAATTTGAATTTACGAGTACTAACCACCAACAACTTCAGAACTACATAAATACATAGTGACAAATAGCAAGATAAAGAAATGAAGAGCAAACAACTTGTTATTTTAACTTTGCATACAGTTTTTTATGATGCAATAAATATGAAATTTTTATTATTTTTTGTTGTTGTATCCGTAAATATACATAAGATCTGAATACACCATCAAAATGGGAGCTCAAATTCGAAAAATTCGATGTATGCATCACAACAAGAACTTTGAAAGATGATATTTAACTGTCAGAGTCAATTAGTGATCCTCAAAATTCTATGGCTCACAGAAGTAATGATACAGAAGTCAGTACTAGCCTTACGTCTACACAGACGGTAAAGAATCTCAAATAATTTAAAAATTGCTAAAACTTTTTTGTTTTGATTTTTACAGATAAAGAAAACAAGAAAAACAAATTGATAGCCAGACAGCTGTCTACAGGAAAGAGCAAGCAAGTGTCTAGCCAAGCTAAAAAGCAAGCGAGAACATCTAAACTCTACCAACAAAAGAGGAAAGTCTTTCGACTGGTAGAAACTAATGATAAATTGGGTTCATTGTCCTCCATACCAAAGGTAGTTTTAAGTATCACTGATATTAATGCAGCAACAACAGGAACGACTGCAAAATCTGTAGCCTCTCCCTCTTGTGTTGTGCCACTACAAGAAAGTAATTCTAAAGTAAACATCATTTCTACCAGCTCAAATGTAACTGAAATCAAAAGCGGCCTCACAGTCAACAACAAACCAGTCAGCCTGATATCAGCCCCTATAATGGCAACCAGCATAACACCAACTCTACCTGTTCAAAATTTTGCTCACAACTCAAATGTCGGGACGTACATTCTATCCAACGGACAACTGATGGCAGTTCAGCAGCCAGCGCATATTATACCTCAAATAGCACCTCAGATCTTGATCAATCGTCCTGTGACCCCGATTCTTCTAATGCAAAACAACAATAACATTAATAGCCAACCCATAATTATCCAAAATCATAATCGTACTCGCGAACCGTTGGCAAATAATTGCAGGCCTATTTATCCAAAAACGAAACGTGAAATCACCAGAACCACTTTTAGCTCGCAGAAACCCATCCCTTCTTTGAATCTCACCTTTAGTAGCATAAAATGCACGAAAGAAATGAGAACTGAAATGATAAGTGGAGGAAAGCAAAATAGGAACAAGAGACAAAATTCAAAATTGGCTACCTTAAAGAAATTTTCGAAGGATAATATCAAAAATAGGAATAATAGTAGCAAAGAAAAACTTATGGCAAAAATGGATAAAGAGACGTCTGTTCATAAAATTAAAAGGTTTGAAAGAATTAACTTGATGAAAATTAAACTTCGAAAGAGAAAACGAAAAAGTCCGAAACATATCTTACTTAATAAGTCTGCAAATCATGGAAGTGTGACTAGTCACTTATCAAGTAAAAGAACGAGTTCATCACAAAGTCATGAATTAATTGTCAGAAAGAAATCTAATTTAGGTTCTTCTAGTAGACAGGAAAGTACAACGCAAGTAAATAAAGTCCAAATTTCGAAGATAATCTCGAATAATTCTGATGCTACTTGTGGAAGTCAATCATCGACAATTGTGACTTCCTCAATTGGATCTTGTGATTTTATAAATACGTCAAAAAGTGTGGTGTCTCTTAGTTTAAGTCCTAAAGGTGCTTTTTCAAGTGATTCTATTTTAAGTAAAAATTTATTTCCAGAAACTGGTGAAAAAGTCAGTTGTGATTTGCAGTTAAAAACGAACTCGAATGCCGCAGAGGCATTGACTTCCTCTCAGATTCAAAGTTATTCCGCTCAGAACACAAATAATTCTTTTAATTTTGATCCAAAGTTAGTTGAAACCTTCAATTTTAACAGTGGCAAAGACGTTTTAACTCAACTGGGTACATATGAAAAGAACTCTTTTTTGCCTATACTCCCTCCATACCTGGAGGATGTCCGAGAATTTTCGTCAGATATTCTATCTTCTCTCCAGATTCCTTCCAATTTGCACAACTCAGAGTCTTTATCTCCTACTGCTGCATTTTTATTATCTTTTCCTCTCGTTTCTACCTCTAAAAATTCTGAGCTACTCAACGAGAATGAAAATGAACTCTCCTGTGAGAGTCAAACTGATAATTCCACTTCTATTATGCAAATCGGCAGCCTAGAATCTCCGTCATCTGCAATAATTGAAGGGCAGGCAGTTTTATTTGATCAGCAGTTTGCGCAAATACCTAAACCTAATTGGCTGTCGAAGAGTTGTGACAAAATCGAATCAAATCAGAAATACAATGAAAATTTAAGTTTTGACAGCTCAAATATCACTCCTGTTCATGCATCAAACCATCCAAACAAAAAGAGTTCAGTTTTTGGTGACTCGCCATGTAAAGCTGTAAGCTCTAAGAATAAAACAGATTCATCTAATGGTTCAAATCAGCATGCTGGTAAAAATTCGCAAACATTAATTGATAAAATTTCACCAGGTAAAAAAGCCAACATCCCTGCAACTTCCAGTACTGCTGATGATACAGGACAAAATGTGTCCATAAAGCTCAGTTCATCAGCGCAGACCGTCACTACCTGCACCACCAAGGAACTTCCCAAATCTCTCTTGGCTGTTAGCAATAATTTGTTGCCAGTTTTTTCAGAGTTGTATGGTTCTAAAACTGATAAAACAGCTTGCTTAGAACTCTCTCCGAAATCTGGAGAAAGATTTGTTGAAAATTCCCGGAAACCTTCGGATAAAATTAAAAGCAAAGATAATACCCTGAACGCTAGAGCATTTGAATTAAGTTCTGCAAATAACTCTGATGTCACTAAAACTATTGCCAAAAACTGCAAAGAAAAAATCAATTCAAGTACCGTGAATGAAAATGGTTCCAACAACAAGTCCCTTGTCAACTGGATGACGACCCCAGATGTGCGTTTACATGGTATTGAGCAATTTAGTAATTCAGAGCTATTCCCGTATCAAAATTTCGACTTTCTGGCCTCGTCTACTATTGCATGTAGCTCATACTCCACTTCATTCACTACGACCAATATAGACCAACTTTTTGAATATTCGTCAACCACTGACAACAATAAACTCTACAATCCTAACTACCCAGCAGTTTTGAATCAAACAAATGTTTGGTCCCCCAGTAAAAGCTCGCTTCCTCATCATATCGTTGGAACGCATACAGATAACAATTTTATAATACCATCCACTCTGCCAACATTGATAGGTGATTTAGCTTTGGGCACCAACACGACTCCTTTTGTGGATGCCTTTAAAGTAGCGTCTTTTGAGGCTGTGCCTGATAATTATACTGGGCAAAAAATTGGTGAGCCACCGATCAATGACAATCTTAAATCCTATGATAGATCTGAAAACAACCAAAAAATTCAAGTCAACACAAATGAAAATCAGTCGGGAGCCAGGAGTAAAATTAAAGAAAACATCAATCAGCACCCATGTTTTGAAAGTAAACAAAGTGCTCCTGCGCCAAAGAGTCAGCAACCCAACAAAATAACTGCACTCAAGAAATCCGAGTCTAATGACAAATCTCAACAAACAAGTGGCACCAATTTCCTGTCTGTAAGTCAATTAGTCGACCAAAATCAAGTAAAATCACATGGATTACAAGATGATCAAGTCTTGTCTGGGAGCAAACGAAACTTCACCCATCAGAAGCAGCAAAATAAAAACAGCGCTAATAACTTTAATAACTTTAGCAACAATACTAGTGAAAAATACGACCCCAAACATCGTTTAATCAAAAGAGGATCAGCAACTTTGAATAACGGCCACCATGAAAATTTTGTTAATGGCAACGGTCAACGAGTTTTTAATCAGCATTCCATTGTCAGCAAAACAGAGAGTGTCAATAATTGCTGGCAGCATCAAAGTACAAAAGAGTCGTCCAGCCTTGACACAGGTTTCAAGTCAAATAATTACAGCACTGAGTCACTACTGAACAGCGGGAATAATCACTCTCAAGTCATGAACTTCACTCCTATCTCAGATTTTCACAATACTCCAAACTACTCAATGGACAAAAGTGCAAAGCTTCAATCTTCGAGTGTCTGTAACTTCTTCATTCCTCCTGCTCAGCCGTATCAGAGTAATCAGCAACAGCTGATAACCACAATTCCTGATAGTAACCCATTCGGAGAATCATTCCAATTTTCAAACCAGAGCTACCGATCTGACGCAAGCATCAGCAATGAGAAACCAAGATTGGACTATAACGCCCCCGCTTCCTCTTCAATGAATTGTCTTCTTTCGAACAAAAATCCAAGCATTTCAAAATCGGAATTTGCTGTTAATTTTTATCCGTCAACTTACTCATCCTCAGCGCCTACTAAAAATTCAAAAGAGAGGAGAACATCTTGCAGACAGGTTGCTGATCAAAAGCATCCATCAAACGTCGAGCTGAATCATGGAATCGGCTCACACATCTCCCCTCCCTTTCCTAGACCCTCTCTTGCTTCAAGTTTTTCTGTTTCTGTTTCTAATTCTGCTCTGACAGGTCCAATTTATACCAATACATCATCATCTTCATGTGCAAACAAGGTAGAAAAGCAATCTGTCTACTATTCAAATGAAAATATTCGTAAACCATGTGTCTCAATCTCAGATTATGCTCCTTTTGATGACTGCAATTTTAAAACTCCTCAAAATCCGCTGTCAATCACTAATGCTTTCATCCCTCCATCTTCTAACAATGCCACTTTATTCCTGTCGTCCACGTCGATACCTACTAATGTTTTACCATCAAATTTTAACAGTAACAGTAAGAGTTTCCCCTTCTTAACTCCAGTTGTTTCGACTCATTCACTCTCTGTCAGTACGAATAACATGCCCTATTATACCTCCTCAACTGCTTCAAGTAGTACATCTATTTCCACTATAAACGCTAACTTCACTGTAGCGTCAAACACCATCATAGTTAGCGAAGTTTCAGTATGCAGCAGTACTACTGCTTCAAATTATCTTCCTCCTTTTATTGGGTCGAGCACTACAATATCTACTCCCACTGTAAGCTTTTCCCACTATCTCTCACCAGTAATTACAACTTCTAAAAACACGAAGCGGACTTCAAGTTGCTCATTATCTAAATCGGTTACTAGTTCTGGCGCTGCAACATATCTACCACCAATAATTTCAACAGCTTCCATCTCTAGTAACACAAATAAAATTTCCTCCTATCTTCCTCCAGTCATTTCCACAAGTTCCTTAGTCTCAACTCGAAATAATACAGTAGGAAACTATTTACCCAATATTATTCCATCATCAAGCTCTGCCGATAAAAACCGCTTGTCAAACTATTTGTCTCCTGTTATTCCGACCACTAACACCCTTAGTAACAGCAATTTAACAAATTATTTGCCTTCTGTTTTACCTGCTGTTAATGATGCTTCGCTTTACTTACCGCTCACCAGTATCAGCACAACTGGGTCAAGTGTTTCGACTCAAGATATCAATTCATCTTCATCGTCCTATGTATTATCCACACCCACTAACACTAAATTAAACGCTCCCTCAACCCAAGATAAATTTGCCCACAATAATACACCATCATATCAACCCTACATTTCGAATGTACCAACAAGTAATAGTGGTGTATTGAATGGACCAACCACAAACCATTTACCTGTTTTTTCAAACAAGACAAGTGATCCTGCGGTCAGCTCAAGCTATTTACCGGTGTTTTCGAACACAGCTGGGGTCACTTCATCTTCGACTTACTTACCAATATTTTCAAACAGTCCATCAGACCTGCCGATGATGTCATCAAGTTATCTTTCCTTGCCAACCAGTAATCAGGGTCCTAATTCGGTTTCAACGCTCAACTCAGCGTACACCTCAAACTATTTGCCTTCTTCCAGCTTTTCCTCCAGCAATTATTTCACTGTCAACTTGAACGCAGCCGTGCCTCACGATTCACAAATATCAAACTCAACCGCAAATTTCATCTCTTACTCTGCTCCATCCACTGTAGCTAATACACCATGCAGCTCTACAGATGTTCAGTGTTCATCCAATTTCTCAATATCTTCACCTGCCGCCTCTCGATCCTCAAATAAATCCTCCAAAACCTCCCCAGGCTCCTGTAAAACTTTTGTGTCTGCTAAAAAAGCACCCAACAGCGCTGAAGTCCTCAATTCAGAGGCTAAAAGAGTACATTCTACAAACCAAAAGCTCAATCAAGAGGATACTAGTTTGAGAACAAGCAATAAGGAGAATTCTTCCACTAAAGCTGTACTGAAATCGTGTAACCCATGTGTAGTAAGCAAAGGTACAAGTTTTCCAAACAGCAGCTGCATCTCTAATAATCTGAATAATCAAAGCACCTTATCCTCCAATCAAATTGAATCACCGGCAATGTTTGAAACTTATAAACCTGCTTTAATCCATCAAATCGGAGGAAATTATGCAACAGAACATTCCAGTGCAATGAATGTCAAAGGCGTCACAACCTCTATTTCCTCCAAAACTAGTTTGGCTCCTCCAATGCTCCCGCTGAACTCCGGGAGCGCCCCGTCAAATAATTTTAGTTGTATTTATTCAACGTCAGATAGCATCTCCTATCAGCCTATAAATCTACCGAATACCTTTCAAAACCGGCCAGAGTTTGTAGATCAAGTCAATATTGGTCCCTCATCGAGTTTCAACAATGATACTGCCATCAACTCAATTAAAATGACGCCTACAAGTCAAAAATATGTGCCATCAAATGAGCAGTTAATTTACAATGCGACAGCCAACTCTGGATCTTCAACTTTAACGAACTTCAACTTAAGTGCTATTCTTCCAGAGATGAATGACAAGGTACGTAACATCCATTTCAAATAATTTTTACCGCAGCTTAAAAGTAGCCTAATTCAATAGATCTTTTTCTTCACAAGCATGGGCTTTACTTAGGTTATCATTTTCTTCATATCAATATGAAAAATTAGATTAAGTTTCACAGCAAGACAAAAAACCGACTCCCTGAGTGAGATTATGCGCCCGAAAAACCGACTCCCTGAGTGATGATTATGCGCCCTGCTTTATTATCACCTATTTTGACAGTCTTTCCTATGCAAAAAATGTTTCGGAGGCGTGTTAATACAAAGAACATTCCGACAATGATAGAAAAATTCACTATTTATCATGCTTCACAAAAAAACATGCGAATTTCCAGTTTCTTAATTTTTAGTTAGTTGAAAAGAACAAAACCTAGGAATTGAATGCAATTAAAATTCCGGACGTTTCTCTGTGCTTCTAGACTGGTCATTACAATTTCACACTTTTTCAACACTAGTCTTTTTGTCTTCAGAGTATAGACAAGGTAAAAAACTTAGACTGGTTGTTTATTGCTCTAATGATGGTTTTATTTCAATTGAACGACAGTATGAAAGAATTTATTTCAATAATGGAGAGTCATTCAATTATGTACTGGATGTGTTTTCACTTATGTTTATTTTCCAGATAAGGTGCCATACCTCATCAAATAGCTCTTGCATCACGAGGGGACTTTCAGAACAGACATCCTTTGGAAAATATGACTTTTATCAATATCCAGAAAAGAAGGCCCATCCTCTAACAGACAAGAAAGTACAACAGATGCAGGTAATAATACTTTTTTGCAGTGCGATTGACCCATAGACATGGCAAAACCAAGATAGTGTTCGCATTCTGAGCATCCAGGAAAGCACAGATATTTCTGTCATTGATTTTTTCGAAAAATACTTTTACGGAAGGGCTATTAACCCATTCACATACTTATAGAAAAAGGTGGTGTCTAGATATTGGACATCTTGGGGTTTTACCTTGGTTGTGCGCGGGTATTGGTCTGTCGTACCGGGCCGGAGCCTTTCCAACCAATAGGGGGAGATCCCTTCCGACGAAGCCGCGTGGGGCCCGTATCTGAAAGTCTCTAAGACGACCTCTTGGGGTTTTACCTTGCAAGTAGCAACTAAGAGTGAAAACCTCAGGGAACAAACTTTTTTAAGGTAAGGGTTCACCTCAGAGCTAGTCGCGGAAATAAAAATAAATAATTAAAATAAATAAATAATTAATTATTATAAATAATTTTGGCATTTGGAGTGTAGTCGAGTGCTAGAAATAATGTAAAATTTTCTTTAAAAAACTTACATTTTATTAACAAACTTAGACCGAAGCTTTTCGAAGATGTAATGTACAAAAAGAGGTAGATCTGGCAACTAATCCCCTGTACATAAAATGTGCTGCCATCTCTGATGAGAAACAGGTACTAAGCATACATTGACAATGTTTGATTATTAAGAGTGTTTTGATCTAATAGCTTGTTATCAATTCTTACCATCAATAAAATCTGTTGCCTTGTTTAAAATTAAATTTTGGCCTTTTTGATATCGATTTTGTGACCCTAACGATGAAGCGTTTGCTTCGAAAAACTTCGGTCTAAGTTTGTTAATAAAATGTAAGTTTTTAAAAGAAAATTTTACATTATTTCTAGCACTTGGCTACACTCCAAATACCAATATTTTTAGTGCTACTACTTTTCAGACATTGTATTTCAATGTTCGCTGATTTTAAATAATTTTGTCAACCAGCAGCTAGACCCTTGGTTTCAAATTAAGTTATTTTACAACATACCATCTTAGTTCAAAAAGTTTTACAGGGAATGTAATGAACTTGAGTAATGTATTTTTACAAGATCTTGTCCACACGTGCAGACCTCCCAGAACTCTGCTAGAATAATATATAGCTGAGTCATAACTTCAGACAGAAAAGGGGCGAAAATCATGCACATCTGAAAGTTCCGAGAACCTTTGCCTCTGTGGAGAATCTCAAAGTAACATTAAAGCTCTAGTATTTCCTCAATCAAGTTGTAATACTGGTGGTCTACACAAAGAAATGTAACAGGGAGACCCGTATCTAATGAGCTTTCCCCATTCTGTCAGGCAGACTTCTCTTTGTGTCCTGAAAATTGCTCTCTTACCCTTGTATCTCATTAACATTTTGTTGGTGTTTCAGCATGCAAGTCAAACTGTGCCTCCTAATCAATTCAATTTGAGTAGTAAGTCTAGCTCTTCCTCATTTCAAAATAATTTGGATACATCATGACGAAGGAACTATACTTCTGCGCAGTTTATTCCTAGAAAATAAAACCGTGATATTAGAATATTGTTTGTTTTATTATATGATGTATAATAGCATGCTCTCAGTATGCTCCTTTTGTTAAAAAAAAGAATGAAAAAAATAAAAAAAAAATAAAAACAAATTCTGTGCAATAATGCATGTACTTATTCCTGCATCTAACTGAACCCCTTCCACCCAAAAAAAGAAAAAGAAACAAAAAATACTCTGATAGGCAGATCCTTTAACATTTTTTGTGATGCATAAAGTCTCAGTGGCCCAACACCATAGTGCTGAATGTTCTAAATCAATATTTCGCAACTAAACTTGACTTCTATGAGACTCGGTAAGTACAATTTGGAATCTTGTCAAAAATTGAAAGTGTGATCACACAGTACTTAATACAAGAGAAAAAAAGACCCAAACTCTCCTCTCACCTTAAATAAGATGTCCAAGATCCTCTTTTAAGAGCTCAGTTAAACTTGACTTTTTGATCGAAAAAAATTATTTTAACCATATAAATACAAGTACAGGAAAAAGAGTGGTTAAGTAAAAGAAGAAAAAAAGTATTCATACTCACAGCTTTTTTTTTATTTCATTTTATTTTTGTTTTTATCATTATACAATTTTTTTAGACGCTTTCATGCACTTTGTATACATTTTTAGTAAAAATTTACATAATTTTTTAATTACATAAAAGTAAAATACCCTTTCCTAAAAATTAAGTAATGTAACAAAAATACTCTTTTGTGGGTATTCGTGTTACATTATTTTACATGATCGATGATACCATTGAAATTCTTCATTGCAACTTATATTAAGACAACTGCCTTACTATAAAGAAACACACTCTAGGCTCAACAACAACAGAGACACTTGTAAAGAATCAAATCATGAGCAACCTTATTACAGGAGGTGAAGTTGAGAGTGCAGTGTTCAACATACTTTAATTTGTTTTTCTCTCCCTGTCGAGGAAAAAAACAAGCATATTTTAGTAGAGAATTATGGGAAAATATGAGTAAATATATAAGCATGCTCAAAACACTCTTGATAGCAAGATTCTCTCTCCCTTCAAAAATTGAGATTCTTGATCACGATGTAAAGGCAAATAAAACACCCATCACAATAAGCGATAAAAAAATCTCTATCCTCAACTTGTGAATATTTACTAAACGAACCATCGACATTGAAACTGAAAACACATCTCGATGGCCAAGGTGCAAAACCACGCTTCTCCATTGAGATGTTTCTTAATTTCCCTTCCTCTTTTATTCTATCAAGGAATAACAAGCCAACTTAATAGCTTGAATTTGAACAGAATATTTAACTAACCGAGAAGAAAAATCATGGAAGTTATCAAGAAAGTACAGTCGCTAGTTTTCCGAGGAAAAAATATAGTAGGACGGGAATTATGCTAGGTCGCAAACAGCGATACGTGGTTTTCCACGTTGGTCATCGATATCTCAGATACGATTTTCAAAATTTCCGTTTCTTCTTTAAGTAAATACTTTGTGACAGGATATCTACAATATTACACACTGAACGTACGTGGTTTCATAATTTCAACAACGATTGTTTGGAGGGACTGCATATCAACTGAATCTGGGGAGGGTAGAAAGGGGGGGGGAGTATTTCTAGAGGATGGGCAGAACCGAGGAAAAGGAGCTCATTCATGAACTTTTCAGGGGCTCATTCCCTAATGAGAGACCGAGTACCTCAACAGAGTTCCAGATACCAATGAATATCAATTTTTATCAACCTTTTGCCAATTCTTTGGCTCTTGTTCAAATTTCTAATTCTAAAAGCGTTTTTGATGTTTATACATACATTAAGCCGCTTTTATAGTGCAGCCTCGCGCTCTGCGACGCCCAATCGCCATTGCCCCCCATCCTCCCAGAGACCGTCAGGCAATTGCCACCTTCTGATCTCCTCCTCCACCCCTCGTCGCCAACCTTTCACAGGACGTCCACGCCGTCGCCTATGAAGTTTATACTTATATTATAAAGCCAATGAAAGCATTTAACAGTTCTGACGATTCGAATACTCATGAGGTCAATCATGGCCGGATTTACCTACTTGCCGCCCATGGGCCGCCTGTATTTTGCCGCCCTCTTCTCATGCATTTTGAAACATCAATAAAAACCATCAAGTGAACGTGCCGGAGGGAGAAGGGTGCATAAGACGCGTTCACTCGTGTTGGACACATTTTTTGCGTAAGCCCTGTCAACACTACTAGCAAAAGTTCAAGGAACTTGACGCGAAAGTTCAGTTCCGTAAACCTATCTCTGTGGGGACAAGGCCTTTCATTTGTAAGAAATGAACTGGAAAATTAAGAAAGAACAAACATAAACCAATGTGGTTTAATTATTTTAACTTCCGCCGCCGTGCCGCGCTGACCACCTTTTGTTTGGCGCAATGCGTGAAGTATTCATGTACCTAGTCTTTTAGGCACTGTGCGTTTCACGCCGCGCCGACCGCTGTTGACCGTACTGTGTTAGACGCAATGCGTGAAGTATTCATGCAGTCTCGTAGGCGCTAATATGTGTTACATGCCGACCGCCTCGTCGAGGGCTTCTCCTTCTCATCTCAAGTCCTCGTCATCATTTCTCTTTGCGCCGCGCCGCTCCAGGCCAAATTAAGTGTTTGGTTTCTTTCTAAACTCAACTAATTAGAGGTGCGCAGTCTTTTTTATCACCGAAATACGAAAAAATTAGACATTAATGAACTCTGAGGAAATGAGAGATTTTGTCACCTTTTCTTGTTTGTAATTTTTTTCTGAATCCGCTTTTTTTGTACCTGCATTTAAAAAAATTGCAAAAGTTGCCGCCCCCTAATTTTGCCGCCATGGGCCGCGGCCCATGTGGCCACCCCCTTAATCCGGCCCTGAGGTCAATAACGGCGACTCCGACGCAATAACATAATAAATACCTATTAAAATGGTCTCGAAGCGGTAAAATAGGAGATTCCCTGATTTCCCTTGAAATTGGTCACTCTTTGAGGAATCGATGTAGGTATCCCAGTTTGCCTGGTTTTTACCGGTCCTAGACACGACGGTATTTTGTAGTTTTATAATGTAACTGCCTGGTCAACTTCTCATTGATGCGTTAATTTTACAAGTTTTCCGTAACGTTCATTCGTTTGAGTTTTTTTTTAGGCTTTAACGTGTTCTGCGTAATGGAGGCTCTCCCTCCTCCTCGCGTGTTGGGTAATTTAGGAGCGCTGCCCAAAGGGCCAAAAGTTAAACGGAAGGTGCCCCGAATGAACAGGAATTCTGCCGTGCTGAGCAAGAACGCCGTATGAACATTCAAGAGTTGCCAAATTTCCTTCAATTAAGTGTATATTTCTGCGGAAAGATATGAATATTTTTCCTTGAAATTTTCAGGGACTCTAAGTGAAATTGCGAGGAAAATTATGTGAAAAATTGGAAGGAAAACATTGATAGCTAAGTTTAGGAGGAAATTCGAGTTTTATCTTGGGAAATTTGGCAGGGCCTGAAGGTAGATACGGCGTTGTTCCTCAGGGCGGGAGAATTAGAGACGGGCTGAGGTCGCGAGTGAGACGCATCCCGGAGGAGACGTCGAGACTGAGTCCGGGCAAGAGGCCGAGGGAGAGGCGGCGGCGGCCACAATAAAACGGTACTTAACCCACATCCAGGATGAGGATGAGAAGCCAGAGCCGCGAGACGTGAACGTGCATCTCTTCACTCGGACACGTTCCACGCTCGGCCTGGACCCTGGACGAGGGGACACGGGACATGAGCCAGTGCGGTCCCTTTCGTCCCGTGTCCGTTCCGTTGACTCCGCTTTGAGCCATGACGCGCCGCGCCGCGCCACGCCGGCCACCAACTTGATCCGCTCTCACCCGACTCCCAGTGCCACTGCATCACTATCCACGCGCCGTTTCCGCCTTCACTTCGCAAGGATTCCTCCAATCCTTCCTCATATCCACGCCTTAAGACCCAAACCACGTATCTCCATTGCGGCCTAATCAAATTCGCGACAGATTCTCTCTAAACACCTGGAGAAGATGAGAGCCTAAATCCGTTACGATCGCAAACTTGTGTAAACAAAAGTCTCATAGGTATGATGCTTGCTGAAACTACCTCTTCTGAGGTAGAAAATAGCTACTGATTTTTTACTTATAATTAAATTTCTGTCTAATATTTGTCAAGGGTTGTCCTTGATCACTTTTTTTGGCCAGATAGCTGAGTTTGGAATTAGTAGCGATTGCCGATGATCCGCGGTAGCTCCGGCCCCACGCCACGCAGCGCGGATAATTCAGGCTCGACTGTACGCACGTAACGCTCTAGGAGGAAGGGGGTCTGAGCCTGCGTTGGGGCCGTATTCCTTGAATCTTACTCGAGGCTGGCGACACTTGTTCATTTGATGATACTATGTTGAAGATCTGAAACCCTCCTTGTCACTCACTTAACCATATCGGGGCTTCCTGAGGAAAGGAGCGATTGAAGGGACAGCAACGGACTAGGACACGACCCCTCATGCGTTGTACGAGCGAGGCAACATTCACGGCAGCGTTACGTGACGCTACAACAAGCGCATATCCACGATTTTTCGCCCATCTAAGATAATAAATCAACAAATGGTGGCAATTTTTATCCAAAGTTTTTCACAAAACGGAGGACGAGGGGCCCAACTGAGTGTTAAGTAACTTTTAAAAGGGTATAGACCTGCGAAAGGATACCAAGTTACGTTACAATGAGAAGGGGTGAGGGTGGTATAAGAATTAAAGTTCTCTAAACTCCTCAATTTGAACTCCTCACCCACCGAAAAACCAAAGCTTTTTCGAATCAAAATCTAAATTGGTTTCTTAGAAAAATGCCTTGACTATCCCTATAAAGGTACTTACGGGGCTTCACGCATGGCTTTTTGTATCGAACGTGTCGTGATAGTAGGGAACGTATTTTTCGGCCGTAGCGTTCATGGTCGTTGACCGTGCAGCAAATCGATGATAACGATGTCAGGGACCGCTCGGCGCTCATGAATGATCACGTCAATCTTTCGGGAGAATGGGGTCTGGCTGGACCGACACGATGGACGAAACAAGTGATTCACAACTGAGAGAGAGGAGGAGGAGGAGGAGGAGGGATATTTGGTACTGCGTCACGTAATTCACGTAAAATCTGATTACGATACTTCTGGCTGAAGGAAGGATGGCAACTTTCGTCATTAAAGTCGCTACATGATTTAAAAAGCATTACCGTTGGCGCGGGCAAAAGGGCCAAAATCTTAAGAGATAAAAATTCAAGTCAAGGGATTTTGTTGAGTCGAGTCAAAAAATCAAAGTTTGAGAAAACTCTTTTCAGGGGCCGTTAATAAAATGCTTGACGCTCTAGGAGGCAGGGGGAGGGAGGGAGGTCTGAGCCTACGTTACGAGGGGATGAAGAGGAGCCTCCGACTGAGTTACGGAGGAGCGCACGGCGTCAACTTTTCGAAAGTCTCGGATGAAAAATCGAGGCGAAGTAGCTACTTTCCATCCAAAATTCATCAAAAAACGCTAATTCAAGGGATGAAAAGGATAAACCGGTACGGAATTTGTTCAGGAAGTGCAGACCTGTGTTACGGATGCGTTGCGAGGGAAGTAAAAAAATCCGATTTCTAGCGTTCCGTGTTTTCTGAACTTGGTGTAAAATTGCGATATAATCAGACAATTTTGTGCGTACCCCATACAAAACAAATCAGAATTTGAAAGAGCTCTCTTTCAAAACTATACGTTTTTTGAGCAGAGCTACCACCTTCAGACCACCCTTTCTCCCGCTCAGTGTGACTTTTTTGGGCTTGGTTTGTCTCCAAGTGCTCATAGGGCACTCCTCTGTCTTATGGTATCAATTTTCAAAATTAGTATTTTTTGGCAATCAGCCTCCTCCTCTTTCCCCTCAATTTTTAATTTTGGTGGAATAAGATTCTCTTTCACGAACAAGTTATTGGAAGACGAAAACACATGCGTCGACTTCCTCATCACTTGTTCGACGATTTTGCATTCTCAATACTAAACTTCTAGCGATCCGCATTACATTAATTCTGTTGCGTAACGCAACGAGGAGGAAAAATTGCGTATTCTTGAAAAATATGAACTAGGAGAAGTTTTGAATATAACTAGCCGCATGTTTTTTCCTGTCGAAAATTCAAAGTCTAGAAAAAATATTTTGAAAATATACCTTGAACTCAAACTCTGTCATTGATACTTCTACCCTCGAATTCTTGGTTGCATTCGGCTGATGAGCGACTTGGCTCCTTTCTGTGCTTCAACTCGATTTAATTTATTTGAATAATTCAAAATGCATGCAGCATCGAAGCCACTTCGAGATGAAGGGCACACATATGGGCAAAATCATATGCTGGAACACCTTTATATGAGAAAGTACGGAGAAGGATGTCATGAAATAAGAATAAGGGCTGAAAATAAAGGATCAAAAATTAAAACAACTCACTTGTAAATCAAGAAAGACCTTAACAAAGGATTGCATAAAGTGCTGACGGGTGCCATTGTGTGGCATGGGAAACTCAAAAACTGAAACAAATAAAATGAAAAATGCATTACATGCTACGTTCGGCTCAACTGCACTGCGTCTTGATTCACGCCTGGTTTCTACGTACAAAAAAATTAAAGTTAGCAAGATTCAAAAGCAGAGAGGGCAAAAATTAATAGATGCGCTCTTTTAGAATTCACGTTCCAAGTTGCTAGTAACATCGAAACTGGATGCAATATTTTGGCGTAATGCCATGAAAAAAAGAAGGTAGGTTTAAAGCTTGGCAGTAGGTACTGCCGGGATGCGGCGATTTGATAGAGCTATTCCGGCTCAAAGGACTTCTGTGTTGCATATTCAAAAAACGAAGGAGCTTACAATCAGACTTATCCTTCACCACTACATACCTCTACCGCGGCGCGTTGAGTTAGCCCAAGTTGCTATACACATAACGTCAAAACTTCTTGATTTGCTTCTTCTCCGATTATTTTTAAATCTATCTAATTTCCATTGGAAAATTCCCCTATGAAACGAAGGATTTCCTCCTATTCGTCTCTGGATTTTCTTGGAAAAAATAAAATTTCACTTCAAAGTTTAGGGAGAAAATGGACTTTTTTATCTTTTGCCTGATTCTTTGAAACAGAGCCAACAAGAACCACCAATTTAAAAATAACTTGATTTCGGGGTGGAGAAGGAAGAAATGTCCGGTTTTTAGCACCAATTCCTTGACGAATCCGTATTTCCTCGGATGTTTCTCGTTCTTGATGAGAACAGATGTCTAAAGTGCGAAACCACCTACCTCCGTGACGTTGCAGGCTTACTGTCATACTTAATCGTGTTTATGGAAAACTAGTCAACCTAATTCCTTGGAAACTTTTTTTGATTTTTCTCCTCTGTAAGGAAGATATTCTGTAAAAAATTTCAAGCTATCAAGTCGCCCTGGTAAAAATTGGCAGTAGAATCTGTGTTCCAAAATACCATAGACCTACAGCCGGCCGTAAGATTTCCAATAGCCGGCTACACAATTTCTTATAGCCTTTTATAGCCGATGGCGATTAAGCAACAGCCAGGCGATAAAGTGTATGCTAAACGTTACTAATTACGGATGATAGGACTTGGTGAGTTTTTGGACTACTGCTCTCTTTTTAGGCCGCAGTATCTTGATTTATTTTGTGAAGAAAGGTCCGTACTTTTGATGGATGCCTTCCATTCCTAATATATTAGAGCGCCTTCAGTTTCGTATGATACTGTGCAATACCTCTGGTGTGAAATAGGTGCTTCAAGCGCCGTGGCACTAAGGCGGGCAGACAGCGCATTGGCGCCTACAAACCTAACTGGGATACTTCACGCATTGCGCAATACGTGAAGTATCCCTGTTAGGTTTGTAGGCGCCATTGCGTCGCCGCTCCGCTTTGTGTTAGACTCTAATATTTATCGGGCGGAGTCAGCGTTATTCAACTCATGATTTTGAAATGTTTGCACATCCTGTATGGATTATTCTCATTTTAATTGATGAAAAAAAATATGTATTAAAGGAAAATATAACGTGTGTTTTGTAAATATTACTTTAAGGTGGTTCCGTATCAAACTTAATGATTTCCAAAGCACGCGAATTTCTACACAATTTCTTATAGCCTTTAATAATCGATGGCGAAAAAGCAACAGCCAGGCGATAAAATGTATAGCCCGACGATAAGAACCATAGCCCGGCTGTATAATTTTTTATCGCTTCGTATTGCCCGGCCGTATGATTTTTCTCCGCATTCTACAGCCAGCAATATGATTTTCTGTAGCCTTCTTTAGCCGGCTATAAGAATTCCTATGGTATTTTCAAACGCAGCTCTTATCGCCAATTTTCACCAGGGCGGCTCGTTTCTCTTCAAAAAAGTGAAACAGGAGCGAACATTTTGAAACCTTTGAATTTTTTCTGGGCGATGGAGATACGTGGTTTCACACTTTGTCAATGGATATAAGCTTTGTAAATTTCGCTTCCGTGTCATGAGGTCCCTTTCTCCGGAAACGGTGACGCATATCCTTGCGAAAAGTCAACGTCACATCGGATAAATCGAGGGACTGGTCACCGATGACTACGAGGCGGAAAAAGGCTGATTATACCGTCTAAAAATAAAACGTCACAGATTCTTACATCTAAAAATAAAGTCCCTGCTGGAAAATACGACTCAAGTTACTCCGTATGCAAATCCTTATTCATGAGACCCGCAACGTGTTTACTTACGTCAGTTACGTACATTTAAGTGACTCATTTCCTTCCAAGAATCTGATGAGGGGATTTCAGCTGGACTAAAGTAAAAGCAGTTACTCGAGGATGTGCATCCGATTCCGATAGAGTGGTGATTGACTGTGTTACAACTTACGAGCTGGAAAAGGAGTAGAAAATTCGTAGCTTCTCTGACGCGAAGGCGTATCTCTGTTTCCAGGCGTGCTTGGGTTGAGGAAAGCATGGGGTTACGAGTGAACGATACGGCTCAACTGGAATAGTAGTAACGCTCTTATGTCAGAGAAGCGGCCAATGTTCAGGAGCTAACTGCATAGGCTTTGCTCCACACATGAGATCCAGCCGACAGAGTACCTAGTCTGTTTCAAGTTACATCGCACGAAAATCACGTAGAGCGGCTCAGAAATTTCTGGGCTTAAGATTAAATTGAGACCAAATTAAAAGTGCATTCCGAGACACATAATGCTCGACCCTCGCAACTTGAGCTATAGGCTTTTCTCGTTTCACCATGCATGGGCTTTAAATCATGGACCACCAAAATTATCCGGGTACAATCCAACAAACCATGTAACTATCCTTGCAGGCAGTTATTTAATGATTATGCTCTTTATACTCTCCCATCACTATACATTCTTCAGAGCATGAAATACGCTGTACTTAATGGACTGATAACACCAACATATACAATGTTCCCTAAACATAACTAAAACAGAGGACACAATAGTACAGATAACGTCAAATTTTTGTTACAGATCTCGGGTTCTATAATATTAAATATTTGTTTAGATATTCTAATAATCGACAAATCTTTAAAACTTAAAGTTTATTTAAAGAACTCGAACTTTACAGCATTATTTTTCGCCCATAGAAAGTTCATAATTGAAAAGGCTTTTTACAGCCAAAACGGATTCCTGGAACTTAAGTGCTAAACTGTTTCATATCAGTAAAAAGTCGTACACGATGTATGTATTATAATGTATGTAATGTAATGTGATGTGTTGTATGATAATGTAAGTTGACCTGTACCGTGGTCAAGTTGTTTTGACTTATTACGTGCTTAATTGATAAAATAAAATAGAAATAAACTGGGGGGTTTGATGGAGAAGATCATGGCAAAATTGAATTCTGTTTGGATTGCATTTTGCCCTTCGGAACTATGTTTTAAAATTGGCTCACCTACAAAAACACCCATCTACATTGGGAAACTAATGACACATGCGTTGTTTATGAAATGAGCCAAAAACTGTGGTTCCTTAATGCAGAATGTAGTCAATTTTACAATACAGGGCTGCTATTTCTAGTTCATCCATGAAGGCACATATCTGCTTGCAGACAAAGTAATGGCACAAAAGTTGTTTTTAAAATGAGTTAGAGATGGTGGTTCCTGATTACAAAATGTAGAACAATGAGCGCTTATGATGGATCTCAATTCAAGAGACCTGCCGCAACGATTAGTAAATGGTGTCGGGCGAAATCCATGACGTCAGAACTCAGTTCTCGCTCAATCGAGGATCGGAGGTCGATGACTGAAAAACATGAGCAATGAAACAGGGCTGCCATGCTAAGGGAAAACACCGTATCGACTTTCATGCCTCGCCAAATTTCCTTAGATAAAATACAAATCTACCTATTGGGAAACGGGTGTATATTATTCTTCCAATTTTTCAAACGATTTTCTTGGTAATTTATTGTAAAATATGTGAGAATTTCAATGAAAACTGTGAGGAAATTTCTTGTAACATACATTTTGATGCGGGGAAATTTGGCAACGTTGGAATGCTCATACGGCGTTTTTCCTTGGCGCGGAAGAGTTGAGCGGGTTGCGAGCAGCCGCCAGCGAGTGTGTTTGGAAACAAGGACTTCCCGCATGGCTCCAACAAAATCCAACAACTAACAACCATCTCCATCGTTCTATACCGAACATGATAGACCCAACACTGAGAATCTGCGGTATGTAAGCGGTTCAAGCAAGTTGTTAGCATGTTTCGGGCCGCTGGAAGTCACGTTCAAGTTCTCGAGTTGAAATCAAAGAAAAGAGGATCAACCTGGGATTTGTTTTTTCCTCACAACTTGACAAATTAATTACCTAAACGACGTGGTAAAGAATTGCTTCAATTTGATGATCTTGGATGGAAAATGATCCGAAAACTCTAATCCAGTTGCATATTTCGACGGATATTTCCATTTTTTGGGGAAACTATCAATTTTAAGCCAAAAATCCGCGAAAGCGTTACCAAATAGCATTACATTTTCATGACAACGAGTCGGAACTTTGTGTCATAACCTGTGTAGTTGAATCAAGGATTTTAGCTTCAGATTCCGCAATTTGGCCAAACTAGCTTAGTAGCAACAAGTACTGATGCTCACCGCACTTGAACGACTACGAGGGAAAGAAGAGTATGGGGGAAAATATAGAAACCGGTGCTTTGATCTGATTCTTGAGAACAAATCTGGACGATTCTAAGGGTGGATTTGGTTATGACGCTCCGAGGGGTTTTTCACGGAAAATCTTCCGATTGTAAAAAACGGGCGGATGAGAAAGTGTGACACAAAGCACAAAGGATACTCGAGAGATGCGGATGAATAATTGCAAAGCTTTCTTGGAATCTACCCTTTTGAGCTCGCAAGACAGACGTGCGTTCCTCGGATGCAAGTTGCCAGCTTTTTTGCATACTATATACACGTGCTCGATATTTAAAGCAGTGCACCCAGAGACGAGGTAAGAATTAAACCACGCGTTTTCCTATCAAAAACTCAAGCAAAAGATGTCGGCCATATCAAACATTTTCAAAATTAACTTACGAAAAG